ATGCGGAACATAGACCACCAGAGTGCTTGGACGGGCAAGGCAACGGATGTCACAGAGAGAGCATAAATGATGGAATGTGAGGCAGCTAAGACCCTTCCCAAGAGCACCAGGAATGCCAGGTGAAGGGCAACAAACAGCCAGCCATAGAGTGCCGTTGGGCCGCACTCTCCCCCCCAGTGAAAGTGACACCGCAGTCCACCAGAAGTGAGTTTCACAAATTCCTGGGGTGATCCAGCCTGGGAAGGGAAGGGAAGGAAGGTGTATTCTCTTATATAAATAGAGAATGCAAACAATAAATTATGGTCTACAATTAGCAGAATAAGCATAAAGACACTTTTAAATACCTTACATAAGGTCAGATAAATGGATTCTATACTGTACATTCAATATACTAATATTCTGGGTTATCTAAACAAAGTCTACCCATTTAGTAGAACGGTTACATTTTCCTCTACTTGTGATATTGTTAAAATGAACATCAGATTCTAAAAAGTTAACAGAAAATGTCATAAAAATATCAATTGGAATTTTAAATACTATACCTCCTCAAATCATCATATATTTCCCATTTTCTCTTCATGGCAACCATTCATATCAATCAAGTGTATCCCATGTTCACAGATATAACAGATCATCGGTAAGACATCATCGGTAGAAATTCACGTACCTTTCCGAGAGCGGTGAAGAAATCGGTCCAGAAGAGCATCATGATGGTGAAAAGGGAGGCCAAAGTGAACCACACGAGATGAATTCCCCACTTGGCATCCAAAGAGTTCTGCATGGGGGTGCTCACCACAGCTCCCCGGCTGGAGATGAGAGCTTCCGCATCACTTCCCGGGGCTGACATTCCCCCAGAGACAGTGCTCACCATGCTCAAGCCCCCTGTGCCACTCTGTTAAGGGGGAGAGATAACAATGGACATGACAAGTTGTTCAATAAACTGCTCACCACAGTCAGGATTTTTATACCACTCTAAAATGAAACAAAATAATAAAAAATAACAGATATGCTGTTCTTCTTATCCTTTTTTTTCCCTTGATGTAAGTTTCACAATCAAGCCAACTCAGTTCAAAGCAAATCTCACCATAAACCTCACCTTTTTAGTAATCACCTCTCTCTCCAGGAGAAGCCAAGATAAAGTGAAGAGGAAAAGCGCCGCAGCATAGACAATGGTCCACAGCGCATGGGCCTGAGCACTCCACGGGCCCCCATCATCCTCAGGATTTTTTCTGGATCTACCATGGCATCGATAGAGGTTATTCAGCTGGAAGTCCATCGCCAGAAAGAGGCCGCCAAGGACACCACAAAGGGAGAACATCTTTGGGGAACTCAACTCTGGGGAGGGAAACAAGACATTCTTTAGCACGTAAACCACTATATAACAAAAGCATAACACAAGGGTAGCATTCTTGCAATAACAAAATATATGTTTATCCATATATACACTTTACTGGTATTGTTAGTCCTCTCAAAAACCATCTGCATATCTAGAAATTACATCTCCCTTCCCTTTCCACTTCCTCTGTCTAATTAGCTACAAAGCTTAAATCCGTTAATGATATTATCAGAAGAACTGACATAAAATCATCTTTTTCTTACTGGATATGTTCTTCTGTAATCAAAATTCCCTGTAAACATATCCAATATGAATCCATCTACTTCTAGCAATATATTAATTCTTTTGATTCAAAAATACACACAAGCTATCCAATCTCATCTGATTAACCCTGTCCCTTAATATTCAAAAAGAAATATTTTTATTTTCATTACTACATCATTATTTTTACTGACATTATATAATAGTAATTAATAATAACACAAAAAAAAACAAGAAATGGGAAAGACAGATATCTTATCCAGACTCATTTAAATCATATTTTGTTAACTAATTAGGATTGAAATTCTGAAGATTATTTTTAATTATAGCTGTTTTTTCACTTCACTCCTATCATTAACCTTCTTTTGGCTTTCCATCTTACATTATCTGATCTACCTCGACTGTATATGGGGATGAAGGAGCATGTTACAGGCTATTCTTCAACTATAAGAAGTGGCTTCATTCTACAATATTGCTTCCTCTATTCCTTCATTCAAATTCATCCAACTTTTAACACCCACAAACACCTCCTTCCAAACATCCACCCATTTACCTGGTCCTTTGTAGAAGAAATAAATGATAATCATATACATGACTATAAGCCCCATTAAGGGCTCTTGGGCATGGCACACCACTCGCTTTCTGTCCAGAGCGTAGACAATCATGAGACTAGAAATTCCGTGGAACATCCCCGTTTTGAGTATGGCGGAGGGGGAGGAGGGACCCAGACGCATGAACTGGCAGAAGTAACTGTATCTGATCTGCACAAATAACACCACAGGAAGAGCAGTGAAGATGGCTGCGAAGATAAGGGCTGAGTACGCATCGCCCACCTCGTTAACTGACTGGAAAGAGGAAGACATATTATCAGTTAATTCATGCAAATGTCTACAATGTATGCTTAATTTATATTTTCAAAAACTATGATGTTCTTACATATAATTGATAATAACAATTTTCTACATCAAATAATACCAAATACTATTACACACGGAAATTAACATTTTATGGTGAGCAAATCAGCCCACATCTCTGAACAAAATACAAACTACACATTCAACACACAAGAAGACAAGTCCCCTGTAGCTATTTAATGATGATTTTTTTTTTTTATAAACTAAATTAACATCATCAATTTGCTGATATCTTATCATAAATCTTTCTTATATACACAGATATTTATCTCCAAACGATATTATCCTATTTCTTGCATTATCCTGTCCTCAAGTTATGCAACAGAATGGCAAACGTGAATTTATTTTTGTTATTTCTCTTACATCATTTTCCTTTCCAAATTTTGGCCACATTCACTTAAAACTTTAATATAGAACACAAAAATATATCGATAACAAGCATTATAATCATAATCTAAACAAATAGACTGGGATACAGTGCAAAAGGTATCACTATCACCAACCAAACTCAAAAGTATACCCTGGTGCTTTAACCTTTTAAATGACATCTTTAAGTGCACAAAAAAAAAATTCTGCAGTTAATATATAATCATTCAAAAGTAAAACATTCTAATTTGGACATTTATAAAATGACTAATATGGGTCTTTTTCTTTCTTAGGGGGTAGGGAATATTTTCACCAACTTCACTAAGTCTACGCAATCCTGAGAACTATATCTGCCAAACTTCTTCCTTCAAGAGTTAAAAACTCAGCTTACTATATAATAAACTTGTCCGAAACCCCATACCATATACACCTAAAAAAATTAAACATATTAGGGAAAAATCCGACACCCACCTCGAGATACACCGGCAAAATAATCACGAGCGCAGTCGTCACGAGCACCAACAGCACGCACTGTACAGGAAGCTGCCATGCCGGGGGGGGGTCGTGGAGGAGGGAGGGAGCGGAGTGAGCTGCCGCGCTACCCGTCGACTCCTCTGTGATGCCCTCTAAGTCATCTGGCCGAATTAGGGTCTGGAGGTCATCGGAAGTTTCCCCTTCTGCCATGTTTACTGCAAGCGAAATACATAAATAAATAAACAAAATAATGAATAGATAAAAGTTTTTAACAAAATTCTATGCCAGTTCAGCTTGGGTTATTGTCTCGTGTTTATCTGAGATTTCTCTACGCCAAAATATTTACTCAACTCTCATAGTTTCGTAGATTTTACAAGTCATGAGAAAAAACTTAAATACCTTAAAAAAAAAATTAAATAAAAAAAAATTAAATTAAAAAACTGTAAGGGTAAATTTACAACCCAAGCAGTAAAAATAACAAAACTAAGGGTAAATCTTGCATCAAACATGGAAAGCACTAATCAATATTGCCGTACACTATAACCGCCCAGAGTGCTCCGTCACCACAAACCTCTGTTAATCAAGTTTCTCAATGAAGACAAGGGCAAGGAAACAAATAACGCATAGTAATGACAAGAGAGTCACATGATAAATAATAACTTTAATAAACAGCAAACAGTGAATCAGCAAAGTTCCCACTGATATTACCAATGGCAACTTAACTGATTTATTGCATCATTGATAATGTTTTTTTTTTGTTTTTTGTTTTTTTTTTGTTGTTTTTTTTTGTCTAATATTCATAAACAACATTTTTTCCACTTGTTAAAGTATAAAAATTCATTTCATTTACAGTAAAAGAATCACATATATACCTATGCCTTTATGCCAATTATATATTTAATCAATACTTAGGGAAAAGGGGTTAATATTAACTAGATCAAGCCAAGCAAATAAAAATGTGAAATGTGAGTTAGTAATTTTTGTACAAAACTGGGATGCACACTTTAAAATAAATTATTTTTTTCACTATATTACCATAATAGCAACTTAGTCCACTTCATTATCCCCTACCCCCCTCTGAAGTTTTCAAAAGGCTTGGTTTCAATAGGGTTAGGTTAGCTTAGGTTAACTTAGTTAACTTAACTTAAATTTTAACTTAACTTAGCTCTTAGCTTAGCTTAACTTAACTTAACTTAACTTAACTTAACTTAACTTAACTTAACTTAACTTAACTTAACTTAACTTAACTTAACTTAACTTAACTTAACTTAAACTTAAACTTAAACTTAAACTTAACTTAGATTAGCTTAACTTAGCTTAACATAGCTTAGCTTAACTTAACTAAATTAACTTCATTAATAACTTAACCCAACCTATCCTAACTTAACAATAACTTAACTTGCTTTCTTTTCTATTTGGCTTTTTTACAATGCCATGTTAATATGAAGAGTGCATTGAAGGGACATTTAAATGAGGACACAGCAACAACCTTACGTGAACTAGTATAATATTTTATTAATCCGAGCTAGCCAATGAAAACGCTTAATCCATTCACGGAAATTAACACAGCATTAGCAGAGGGATGAGAGATGAATTATAAGAATGTAAAGAATTAAAAACTTCAACTTTTCAGTGTTTTGACCTGGATG